TCTATTACAGTAAGACTAGATAACAATGATATTTAAAGGCAGTCAATCTCAAAGGTTTATTTTAAAGAGTATCTTCTCAAAACTTTCCTTTTTTTAATAACCTAAACAGAAAATATCTAATTAACTAAGACACAGCCTAGCAATCATTTTTGCTTTCAAATTTGAGGACTTAGTGGAAAATCTCTGATTGTGCAGTGACTGTGGGCTCTCAAATTGCCCAGGATGGGCAGGATTGTCAAGAAACACCCTTTAAATGCCCCACTGCTGACAAGAGGATCTACCTGTCATATCCAGCTGAGGCACAGCAACTACTTTTCTTTTACTGTAGGAGGTTTTGCACCTGCAGACAAATGGTCTGAGTCACTCATTACTGTCATGAGCTAAAACAACATTGTAAAACCTTCACTATCTCAGGTACCACAATAAAGTGATCAAATAATCCAGCCATGCACTATCCTTTCCAGCATAAGGCAGCCACTAATAATGGTTTTGCTACATAATGCCCTATTTTAGGTACACACACACACAGATTTATGTATATTTAATATTAAAATAATGGCAGGACATTGCTTTAGAAATCATGGTTGTCTCTGCTTCCACCTGCAAATTTTGACATCATGTCTTATAATGTGTCCCTATTTCTACCCTGCATCTTTCATCTTTTGCTGCTGCTGAGCTCACTCAGACCCAAATCATCAGCAAACCTCAATATCACCCAATTCTTCAGTGTTTTCCTATGGAGGAGGAAGGAAAAGAAAAAGAAATAAAACTGTCCCTTTAAAAACCCAAGCATTTAAGCTGCTTGTCAGTCGTCTTCCTGACAAGGCCACTTGAATGTATTCAGGAATATTTGCATAAACGCTCACAGTGAGTTCACCGTGGCAGCTAGTGCTAATGGTACATAAAGTAATTTAGTCACTTCTCTTAGGCATCTTGTCAGGGTGATAAGAACCTCCTCTTTGCCTTGTTGCATATTAGATCATTAGATAATAAAGTGTTAGAGCATGCAAACTGACAGGGTCTCAGGGACTATCATTTTTCGAGGACATTGCATTCTGCCAGAGAAGAAAAAAAATAGAGAAATTGATGCTGCAATTGGCTTTACATTCTTGTAAAGACATTCAAAGGTTTGGGGAGAAAAAAGAATTTTTACTTTGCAATGATATGAGAGTTTTAACTGGAAACTATGCAGACGTCTGCAGTGCTGGACTTTATGCTGGTAAACTTGAAAAGAGTTGTTGCAAACCCTGCCAGAATTCTCCCCTTTCATAAGTTCATCACTTAAATTGCATTGGAAAGATTTTGCTTTTAAAATTGACACCCTGGGATGAACTACAAGCTGAAATATATTCTACTGTTGGGGCCTATTGGCTCTTCACTATACATCTTACTAGGGATATATATAATTTAGAAAGGTCAACCACGCCGGCTTTCTGGTTTACCATAAATATAAAACAAGTGAGGATCCAACTATTTGTAAATGAAAAAGTGATAATTATTGAAAACCACAGATTACTGTGGCTTACCCCATTTATACCACACAGAGATGGATGAAATAATTGGCCTCTGCCAGCTATTACTTTTAAAAGATAGATGTATTTATTTGAAAGACAAGCTTCTTAACCTGCTGGTTTCAAGGACAGCGTGTGGATACGAAACCATGATCTAAGGGCCTGGTTATACCCACAGAAACGAGCTACGAAAAGGAACTTTCATTTTACTGTCTGACAAGCACGATATAAATAGAGATATGTTGGATGTCCCAAAAATAATCCAAGCTACCTGCTAATGAGATGGTAAAACCCAAATGTGGAGACACCAGGCTCCTGAGTGGCTCAGGAGGTGCAGTTTTCTTTCCAGCTTTTTGGCACCCAAACTCTCTTTTAGGCATTGCATAGACTGCAACTCCATGTTTAAGAGCAGTGTGTCCCAGCACAACTTTGTAAGGAAAAATAAGCTGGATATTGTCTAACTAAACTAGGCAATCAACATCCTTGCTACACCTTTCTACATCCTGTCTCCCCTTTTCCCAGTCCTCACAAAGTCAGGCATTCATCTCTATTGCCATCAGATATTTGTGTTAAAAAGTTAAACACCTAGGAGAGTCAACAGGAATACATTTGTCAAGGGCATATTATAGTTGGATCCCAGAATTTACAAACCTCCAATCAGAAGTTGCTCACCAGAGCAATGAACCAGAGACAAACTAACCATGACTACGTTCGCTTCCCATCTCCCTGTTTACGGACACTGCTCAGGTCAATCTGTCCTTCCCCTGAGGGAGGCAGAAAAGCTGGGAAGAGGAAAGGCAGGCAAACTGTCTCTTTGCATATATCTGAGATAAAAATTCCAAAAAATGAAGCAAAATAATATACTTTGTGACTCAAACTGAAAATAAAAATTAATTTCCATGGAGGAAGCTGTCGTCTATTCCAATGGGTCTAAGGTTTGTGGAGGCTGACCAAAATTCAAGAGCATTAAGCCTTTTCCTTTTATTTTTGTTTCTTTAGTTAAATGTTTTAGATACCTAATAGCATCATTTAAAACAGTTACTGGATTTTTTCCCCTCATTTTTCTTGAGCTCACATGTGCACAGAATTCCTGGAGAGCTGGACTGAAGGATTTAGGTTAAAAAGAAAGGCTCCACCAAGTGTTTTGGAAAGAGAGCAATTTTGTAGTGTGAAGGTTGCTATTCAAAAGTAAGAATTTACTAGCAGTTGCTTTATGAGGTTGCTTGAGAAGTGCCTGAGAAAGTAGATTAGAAAAATCACCTTTCCCACAAAAGGTACACATGGAGATATTTTGCAGATGTTGACTTTTAATATCAGCACAGTAACTAAGGTGTGTGTAGATGTCTAAGCAGAGCGTTATCTTTTTTTGTTTCTTTTTTGCTAAAGGAATTGCTCAGGTTGTAAGAGTGGGAATGATATCTGTGGTAAAATGAGATACTACCTTGCATGAGAGTAAGAGTATTTATGTATGAGAAATTAAGTATTGCCTTGACCAAAAGTATGCACTGGGAAGACTGAAATGGGGAAAGAAAGAAAGAAAGGAAAAAAAAAAAACCAACCAAAAATATGGCAACTATTTTATTAGGAATATAAGTGAAAGAATAGGAGGGTTTTTTTTGAAAGACTAGACTTAATGGAAAGATTACGAAGTTGAACCGAGAGAAGTTTCCTTTTGTAATGTTCTGCCTTCTGCTAATTAATAAAGACAGAGTTCGTACATTCCTTATAAATTTCAGTAAAAATTATGACAGTGGTTTGTTTATTAAATTAGGTTGTTGGCAGGATGAAAAAAAATTCTATAACATGAATTATGACTGAAAATGGCTCATAGCCTACATAAAAAGTTAGCGCTAAATAAATACAGATGTAAGTTATGTTTATATAATGAGAAACGCTGCTGAGCTAAGAATTTTAGGTTAGTAAGTGTGAACTACAGACCCGATTCTGCAAACACTTATCAATACTCTCAGCTTCTCTGACACAAGAAGCCTCATTGATCCCAACAAGACCATATGTGAGCATAATCTTAAATATATGCATAAGTGCTTGCAGGACTGATGCCTGAAAGCATAAACAGAATAGAAAACTATTTACAGAGGAATCCTGAGTAGTAGAAACCCACACATTTTCCCATTTCTCAGCATTAATAATTTCTTTTAACATATCTAGTTAACATTTTTCTGAGTGGCATTTGCTTTCCCAGAGAAAATTTTATCCGGTTTCTTCAAACTCTTTGGAAAAATCTATTTAATTATTCATCAGATCCTTGGCAAATATTTGTGAAACAAACCAGCATAAAGGACTGGTGCCTTCTGCACTCTACTACTTCAATGGGAGCTGAGGGTACACATCTCTTAGAGGGAGCAAGCACCTATTGAATTTAGGATTATAAACAGCTTTGAAGACAAAGAGCTATTCTACCAAGCTGGAACAGAGAGAGGGGAGTGAAATGCCCTCTGTTTTTGTTTTGTTTTTCAGCAGTAGTCATCAACTTTGAGGACAAAGAGCAAAACAAAACATTAATCAAATCCAGATTTTTCAAAGCACATTTGCACTCAACAACTCCCATTTTAAGCACCTACAGTCACCAGCAGGTGTTCCCTTCCAGGACCAGCTGACCCTACAGAAGAGATCACTGTCCCCCAGGCTACTTGCAGCCACGTGCCCTCATCCCACCCTTGCTGGGGTTTACTGTCCTTTCAGAAAAGCCAGACAAACTGCCTTGCACCATTTCTCCTTCAATCATTTCAGCAAAATAAGCTAGATTGGCAAAGAGTGATTATTTAAACGGTTTAATTCAAATGAACTTTGTTGAACTGAAGGAGACCAGGGAGCAAGCAGACAACCATCCTAGCTGGCATGTCCGTGGTGAAGAACAGCCTGGAGCAGGGAGGAGAGACAAACAGCTGTGGCATGCAGGGAAGAGCAATGTCCTCAGCTGGCACAGCTGGAGCCAGAAGAGAACATTCATCCATGGCTTGAGTAAGCAGATGGATTTCCAAAAGGGCTCTGCTTTCATTTAGGGCAATTCAATCTCCTAGAGAGCTCAGCATCCTATAGATAGAAGAAATCCAATCCAAAATTTGGGTGCTGAGCATTTGAGAAAATATGCAGGATGCTTTAGATGTACGGTCAAAAATCAAGGCAATTTGGAAAAAAGAGATCAGACTCCAATTTTGGATGCTGAACAGATGGAACCAACACCAAAAAAAAAAAACAACCAAAAAAACAAAAACAAACCACCACACTCCACTGACACACAGGACAGACTTTTCACCCATGTTTGCTCAATGGTTTGCCATTTCAGTGCATTTAGAGTTGACCTACTTGAAAAATTCCTCCTTTGGTCTGGAGGCCAGCATCTTTAAAATATCCAGCCCCAAGGGTATAAACTGTTACAGGACAATTTGAAACCAGTAGCCAGAGACACAAACCAAACAAATCCACATTTAAAGTAGCAATGCCAACCAATGAAAATGATATGCCTACCATGTTCCAGATAAGAAGGCGTACCTTCCGAGGGATCGAGTCTTCGAGCTCTCCGCCCGTGCTTGGAATTGTTGTGTACAAACATATTGTCCGACACTGCCAGCACATGGCCATCAACATTGACTGTTGTAGACACCACGACCTGCAGGCACAGGAGCAAAATGGAGGAAAAACTGGATATATCTGTGTGTTTTTTAAAAAGCGCAGAGTGTAATAAACTCAGTTAAATAAATAACAGCTGGGAACTGCAGAAAATTGCATAGCTATTTCGCATAATAACTGGTGCTTATGCCGTACAAATCTAACAAGAGATGCTATTGATGAGTGGGTCTTTGGCATCGAAAGCTTTTGATGCAGTTTTAAGTCAAATTGCAGAGTTTGTAGCTGCATGGCAGACAGCACACTGTTAACCATCATTTTAACAAGAGGATCTTTATTAAGTATTTTTTTCCCCTATACACAAGGGCAGCTGTGTTCTACCCTAAATTATCCTTCGGTTTCCATGCTGAAGTAGATAGAGCTGTTGACATTGCAAATGAGAATAAAAGAAAACAAAAGTGTATTTTCTGAAGTTATAATGAGAGTTGTTGCATGCCTTGCCCCCACCCTTCTCTGCTACCCTCCTCTCAGTGCGGTCACTGCAGGTTGTTGGACTTGCCCAAATTTCTCCCGGGCTCTGTCTTAGGGAGTACGTATAGGTATGTTTGTGTACACATGCACGCTTGACAGTGGGGTCTTGATCTGGAGAACACAACCCTATTCATCCAGTGTTAGAATTATTTGTATTTCTCAACTTATCTCAATGTCAACACCTGGGATTTGGTTTGAGGTGAGGGAGACAGAACAGGACTGCGCTGGAGGCAGGATCCGACACTTCTGGTCCCCAGAGCAGCCTGAGATGGGAGAGGAGCCAACCCAGCAGGGGCAAACAGGCAAATGTTGGGTCCAGAGTAGAAGACCCAGCTGCTCAGAGGTGTCCAGAGGGACCCTTCAAACCTGAAGCTCAGTAGGCACCATCCTAAAGGAAATCCCTGCTCAGGCTGAGGGTACCTGAGCCATGAGACATCGTGGGGATAACAAGGGGGGGATGCGTGGGACAAGCCCCTTGCAGAGCTGCAAGCCCATCACAGCAGGTCTCCTCCTACCCTGTTCAGACCAAGCCCAAATCACAGCCTCCCTGACTTTCATTCAGCCAGCCCTACCACAATCTTTTCCCAACAATGTCATTCCCAGGGTTTTGCCCCAGCCAAAGATTTGGCCTTCAGCTGGCTGCTGGTTTGCCAGGATTCTGCATCGCCTTCTAGAACTTTGACTAAAACAATAAGAAGAAATGACCTACACTTCTCCTTACATTAAACAGGGAAAGGGATTAAAGACTGAAACCCACAGAGATATGTTTATTCATGCGACCTCTTACAACCAAATATAATAATTGTCTGTTAATTGCAGTTTCAGCTCCCACCTCATGCTTCGACATGTGAAACAGCAATCAGCAGCTCCTGTTTAATCCACCTATTATGTTGACTAATTAACTTTGCTCGACAGTTTATTTCTTCCTCCATTATCAGCCCCTGTCAGCCGCAAGCACACTGCCGCAAAGGGGGACCTCAGCCCTTTTGATTGATCACCGATAGATTGACATGCAGATTAATTTAATTAGAATCACCTCACTTGAGAAATGAAAGACAATGGCAAGGGGGCTAATAGATCTGCTCTTATAATGAGGCAAGCCTCCAGAGCCACGGCAGAGGATTTCTGATTTATTTTGCTGAATTCCCCAGTCGCTCTGAAAGGCTCTCGCTTTAATTGTTCTTGGTTTTGAGAGGCTTTAGCCTCTGAAGAGGTGAAATGCTTTACAAGGATTGGCAAACATTGGTTCAACTCTCTCAGGAAGCTGCTGCCTCTCAAACTTGGTCAAATGGGGACACTTAAAGGATCGCTTACAACTATTCAATTCCATCACTTGAATTGGGAAGAAAAAAAAAAGTGAAAGAAAAAATTTTCTAGCCATTTATGGCCCCTGAATAAAACACTCAAAAAGTAAGCAAAGCTGCTAAACTGCCCATAGCCCATTCCAAAGTCTTTGTCTTTAAAAAGAGAAATACAAAAGAGAATAGTTTACACTGAAAGGATCCTAAACCCATCCCTCAGAATGGCATTCCAGGCAATAGATTTTTGTATGTGTTTTAAGTGGAAGATATTAAAATACAGAATAAATTATTCAAGAGCTCTTATAGATGGAAATTTCGGAAGAAGAAAGCACCAAACACTACAGGTAAGTTTTTCTGAAATCAAACTAAGGGGAAAAAAACCCTAAGCCCTATATATAAAATTCCAAAAGGGATTTCAAAAGTAATTTATCTATTGCATTCCTGAGGGATAGAATAAAGTTTATGATATTTTCAATAAAATATGATCTTATAGTAAGTGGCTCAGGGTTTGCAATTCTATTTCTGCACTTGCAACCATTGTAAATTCTTTTCAGCTGGGATTTTGAGCCAAATCCTTGGCATAACCTGTCACAGCTCCATGACTTATGTCAGCTCTTATCTTCTACGGGTCTAACTAGATGCATATGAAAATTAACACAATTACAATTAATAACAATGGCTACAAGATAAAATATTTTCCTCAGTTCTAAAATGCTGTAAGTACACACAGATTCTCCACTGAAGCTGATCAATCCTGTGCTGAAACTGAAACTTTTCAACATTTCTACAAATAGGATTCCAGAAAAATAATGGGTCAAGAATAATAACAGTAAGGTGGTTCTCAAACCTATGAAAATCCTGTATCTAACTAGTTCTTGCTATACATTCACCTTTCTAGGGAAGAACCTGAGGAAACAATCCTAGTGAGGTTTTATGTGAGTAAATCTACATTTAATTCCCCCCGTCAGGTTTCCAAAACCGTTGATGCAACATATTTTGAATTAACAGTGTCTTCCTACCTCCCTCCTGAACAGAGAGTTTGATTTACTACAAAGAGACCACATTGGTGTGGTTCTTCAGTGTCGTTAGCAGAAGAAACTATAAATGGAATCCCCAAGAGAAACTGTTTCCAGTTTCAGGAAATGCAGAAAAAAACCCTCTTATGTGACTGTTTGAAAAAAGGATTATTCATAGTGCACCTGTAAGAAGCAGCACACGCTTACTTGCTCAATTCTTTAAATGAAAATTCTCATTAATAGAGGAACACTGAACATACACTGCACTAACAAAATATTAATGACTCCGATTATTAACAGAGAAAAAATGCACCTTTAATATTGTGTGCCACAGTTACCTACTGCGGATTGCTACAGAGCACTTAACATACTTACAAGTCCAACTCATATTTTTTAATCTAAAAAAATACTACAGCCTCCTCATTTTGATTTTGAAACGACTGGGATATGTTCAAGTTAAAGCACATGCTAAAACTAATTTGTGGAGAAATCATAAAATTAGGGGGAGGGGAGAGCCAAAGTATATGTGGAATGGGCACCAAGGCATCCTAAAACACAGACTGTAGCAAGAGGGAAAGGCACACTACAGTTTAATAAATGATTAATGAGGTGCTGACACATTAATGTAAGCACAGGGACAACCAGGCCTGCCAAATCTCAAACCTTTCCAAATTTTGTCAACAAAACACAGTTTTAATTTGGGACAGGCAAACATGGAAAATGATTTTGAGCTTTAGCTTTAGCCCTTCATAGATTTTGAATTTAAATCCTGTATCAACAGCAGGGGAGACAGAGGTATGAAAGAAACACATGGGTTTACAACTTTCTTCAATGAAGTTGGCACTATCAACCGCAGTAACGTATCCCGGCTCCGTGAATTATTCCGCCTGCTGTTAAATAGTTCAGTTTGTGAATACTTTGGAGCTTAGTTTTTTGGGTTATGTTGGGTTTTTTTTTTAATATTCAGAGACCAGGAGCCTGGAGATCAAGCTATTTATCCACGTTTAGCACTCGGCCTGTTTATTTGGTATAGTACCTCACCTAATATATCAAAATTAAGCATTGCACGACTCCTCATTTTTAACCACAGCCCATTAAGCTTTGCTAACTGATTAAGATATAGCATGTTCCTTGTGCTTTCAATTTTCTCCAGTGTATGGTGAAGGATCTGATATTTTTACAATGTCTGCAGCATCCAGTGGCAAAGGCAGAGAAAATCTGGTTAAGATGATTTCCAGGTTTGAAGTGTCATTAGTGTTAAACCTGTCCAGTGTTTGCTACTCTTCTGAAAGATATAAATGGCTTGAGCACATCTTTATTTTTGTCACCACTTGGTGACCTCTTCCTACAATGTGTTGACTTCTTTATTCTAGTAACAAAAAATCACTCTCAGTTTAACAAGACACTCAAAAAGGTGCCAAACTTAAAGCACATGAGTACAATACACTCAGTAATTTTGCTCACGTGCTCAAGGACAGGCCGGGCGCTTAATTACCTTGTTGAATTGGGCCACAGCTCTCACTGCTATTTTTCAGTCTTTTTTTTTTTTGCCTTTCCCTTCTCTGGGGATGGAGCCTTGCATGTCCAAATTCCATTATCTGGGATTCATGAAGCATCATCTCTGTCTCTTATGCAAATTTGCAATAAGACACAAGTGGCTTCAATTCAAACATGAGTGGCAGCATCCCATGGAGGCAAACGAGCAGCCTCGGCTGCAGAAGAGGCTGTGGTAACAGAATCAAACAGCATGGCAATTTCTAAGTGACTTTCAAGGTTTTCATAATAAGTGAATGTTTGGGGTTTTATGCAGTGACACAGCCTGAAAAGTTTTCTCTAAATTAAAACTTGACATGTGTCAGTTTGCAAGTAGTTGTGCTAAAACAAGAACAACAAGATAACTAGGGCACCTGGGTTTCATTAATTGCAATAACATACAGAACTGTTTAGATTGTATGAATGAGGTTTTAGTTCTCAAAAATAAAATCTGGGCAGAGTTCACCCATGACACCATCTACTTAGTAGTATTATTATTACCACTAATTGGGGTACTATAGCCCATCCCACCGAGAACGATGACTTATTGTGATGAAGAATGCAAAACCAGACTGAGCATTTGCTCCGTGGGGTTTCTGGAATAAAAAGGCAAGGTTGGACAAAGGTGATAATACATGATAACACCAAATGTTTTGTGCAATTGGGTTGATGAAACAGAGAGAGTAAATTATTTTCTCAAAGACAAGCAGGAAGTCTGTAGCACAGCTGAAAGCTCAACTCAGCTGTGTGAGTCCCTGCATAGTACTTGACTTCTCCTCCCTGACTGTCTCTTTCTGCTAATAGAGACACAACTAACACAGCCAGGGCCAGCACTGCTCCAGCACGCAGTTTTGCTGGCACTCCACACTGCTCCAGTTGTCACATGCCTGGACATCTCACGACATACAGAGAAATTTATTTCCTTCCAGGCCCAAAAGAGCTTTTATGTTAGACTTATCACACTGCCACATTTGCACGCAAAGTTCAGGATAAAACTTCCTAATTCATTTCTGTTTGTGAGTCTGAATGAGGTTTCAAACACAGGTCGCCTGAATCAACACACACTCTGCCTCCTCCCTGTGCTTTCTTAACATCTGTTATATCAGATGATAATCAGACAATTCCCTGCTACAGGGAATAAAAAAACAACCCTAAAATTGACTCAGAAAGGAAATTTTCTGCAGGGTTGGTCCTCTGACAGTGCAAGACTTGTGTCCTTGACCCTTCACTGCATCTCCCAGCAAAACCATAAACTATGTTCCAAGAACTTCTAGCACCTTTTGGGGACTGATGTGTGACAGACCATGGCCAAAAGTTGGACAAATCTCTGGGCAGCTTCAAAGTCCAGCACAGATAGGGGAACAAAGGAAGGAAAAGTCTCTGGATTTTGTGTTAAATGAGTGAGCTACTATTTAAAAAGTATCTGGCAATACCTTATCCTTATGGTTTTTAACCAGAATTCTGACATCACCATTACAGACCTTGTAAGTTGCTGGCAACATTTCAAAGGCAGCTGATAGGAAACCCTCCACTGACTTCACAGAGGCCCAGATTTCACTTGGTTCCTACACCACATTGCCTCAAACATCTAGGAGCATCATATCACTGAGATACTGTATGTGTGCTTGGTCCTTTTCACGCTAAGAAATTATAAATGAAGCCTGGGCTCTGTAGAGTCCAGCTGTTTTATTTGAAGAAGTCTATTGCTGAAAGAGCAACAAGTTCAAACTTTAAAAAAAAGGAAAAAGGAAAGAAACAAAAGCATCTATTGTAAAACAATAAGCCTGGGCACTGAACAGAACTGCGAGCTTCAATACCACCCTGTATTATAGTAGGAGTGGTTCGCTCGGCTGAAAGTGATTAATTTCTTGAAAATGCTAAGGTCACACTAATTGACATGACCTGTGTAATTAAGCAGTCTCTGTTTACACACGGAAAGCTCAACTGCTGTGAAGCTGGGTTTGTATGACAGAATGTCTTTACAAGTCAAGAGATCAACAACCTTTCCAATGTCCTACCTACCCGCCGACACAGGCTCCTGATTGCTGTTCTGAGAGAACACGCAAAGGCATTACCATATGAAAATCAGCCTCGAGCCTGGAGGAGCACAAACCCAGCAGAGTGTACATGTTGTGAAGCAAGCTCTGACAGGCCCCAGGGGTGACTGCTCGGACTAAATCCCTGTGCTGCTGAGAGTCCTTTTTCCACCTTCTCTCTCAGTGATAGTGCCCTCTTGAATCACAGGAGAAACACGAAGGAGGGAGGAGTGTGGGGTGAGAAGCTGAGGGCTCTGCCTTGTAACACTAGCTTTTATAATGATTAATTTAATCCCTGTGGCCACATCTCCTCATTTCTGCACTTCTATGCTCAGGGACAAATAGCACCCTTCTGCCTTCCAGCATTGCTGCAATTAAGCAGTTCAACAAAAGACATTCCACATATAAATAATATTGTCATTTACATAACATTTAACACTTTTATTGAACTGTGACGATGCTGGAAAAGAAGCAAACAGGGTTCTGAGTCACTACAGAAAGCAAATGTATTTTGGAGTTGTCTTCCTCTAGAGACTCATGTGGTCTATGGAACAAATCTCATGTTTCTTCCTCAGTACCCTAAGGCAAAGCCACACTGACAGACTCTATCATGCTTTCTCCCTGTGCTGTATACACTCCTCCCACCAAAAGAGGAGGTCCTTTGACTCTCTACCCTGTATTTTTATTCAGCACATACTCAGGTAAAGCATTATTGTCACAGTTAAGGGATCGTGTCTTCAATAAAAGGGTTGGAGCATCTATTTCTCAGTATTGCCACCACTCCACACTGCTGCCAGCACTGGCAAAATGCACGTAAAGACTATTTTCCCAAGGGACATCAATGTTCTTGATACCAAAAGTAGTCGTGGACATAGGTGTAGCATAAAAAATTGTCCCTGGTCTTCTGAAGCTGTGTTGATGCTGCAGTTCCTGAGCTTCAGTGCCACATGCTGCAGCAGTGGGGAAAGGCCAGACCAAAACATCCCAAGAAAGATACACCCCATGGTAGTTTTTTTCCAAGTTCTGACTACAGGGATGGACCTTCATCCCACTGATGCACATCTGAGTCTTTACCACTGCTAAAGAATAACTGCTAATTTTATAATCGCTCTTACACCCTCATCTGCCCCTTCCAATAAACATGGTGCTCACTTACTGTTTCCAAGAAGGGAAATAGTTCTCTGGGCAGAAAAGAATCTCTCAGAGCCCCATAACCAAAAGGAACAGTGAGGTCATTTTGATTTTTTTTTTTCATGCTTTTCCTTCCAGTGGAGATGACATTATCTTCAAGAGTTCTCTTGTCCAGAGCAAGAAAACCCAACTACTTCCTGCCAATTCTGCTGTGACAAGAAGGCCTCGGACAATATTTTGTGACCTTATGTTTTTAGCATCTTCCAGTGAATTACTGGGTTAGTTTGGGTCAAAGTACTTCTGTCACTAACAGCTGCTGATTTTTAAAGGAGGAAGCATGTCTGACTGACCTGGAATCGACGCATGTCTCGAGGGTTTCCTGCATTTTTTAGGCAATTTTGGTTACATTTGAGGAAAAATTTCAAGAAGAACCTGTGGATAAAGAGAAACGGACATTAATGTCTTATAAACAGTGTGTAGTATTACTATGTGACATCTGCACATTTGGTCCAACAAAGACTTATTTATGTTCGTATTCCCAACTCAGACAAATCATCCCACTGACCCTCCAAAGAGGGAAGTGGAGCTTGCATGGGCCCCAATATACATGTAAGCACACCCTAAATATTTACTAATTATTATTATTATTTACTGTTTATTAATCATTAATTTCATGTTTCTGTTGTGTCAGAGCCATTAAATTTTGCAGTCAGTCCCCCTACCACGCTAAATGGCCAGGCTCCCTGTGCCATCCAGAGCAGCAAGGGACAGACACATATTTCATCACAGCAAGAAGAGGACAGAAAAATGTCAGATATGAAAGTTCCCTTAGGTATAAATGGAGTTTTGTTTTACAAGTTCACTGTCATGTGCAAGTTTTGATTTAATGCGAAAATACTGAAAATGTTCCATACAGTTGAAATCTCCCTTCCATGATTAAACCCTGTTTGTGAATAAAATTAATGCTCAAATAGTGGCTAGTGGGAACCCAAATCCCTGAGAGCGGAAGGGGGGAAGTCTTGGTTAAAAGACTGACTTCATGGAAAAATGAAATATTTTTAATGCAATCTACTTCCTGACCATACACAGTTCACTGAAGTAGCTATATGACCCTGACATATATCTCTAAGAAAAGACATTGCATTTTACAAAGCCAAAGAAAAAAGCAAACATTTCACTGGAAATATTTCCTTCAGTGTTATGCATCAGTGGACTGTAAACTCATAAAGACAAGTCAATGAATAATAGTAGGTCTCAGATTCCAGGCTTCCTCCCTGAAAGCCAAAGTTTATCAGCCTTTTGTCCAAAATAAACTACAGACTAAGGTCTACTAAAGCTCAGCCGTGCAAAGTTTAATCCTGCAGCAAGTTCAAACCCCAGTGTAACCAGACAGCAGCATTACACATGCAATAACCACCAGTGACTAAGCAGAAGTTAATCTGCCCTGTTCCCATATCCAGGAGTGGAGAGGGGAACAGTTTGATCCCATTTTACATTCAATCTGAAAGCATCCCTCCTTTAGCACCCAAACTGAACACCAGGTCAGCAGAATTTGCACAGACTGCCACCAAGAAAGGCAAAAGTGCAGGGTAAACAGCTTCAGAAAATCCCTTTTTGATGAGCAGCATTCTTTGCCCTGCTCTAGTTGTGATGCTGCCCCTCAACAAGGCAAGTTTTGGTGCTTGCTACTCCATACCAAAAAAATCATACTAAAGGGCTAAATGACAAATTGAAACTCCAAGGGACTGTTTTCATTAAAGAAATGCAAGGTAATTGAGAAGGATTATAAAATGTGATGTTTGGGATTACCAAGGACTGGATCTCCTGACCCAGGAAGTCCCTTCTAGACCTGAGCTTCTAAATAAGAGCAAGCAATCAACACAAAATAAACAGCCATCACACATGAACAGGGGTTTGGAGACACTGTTTGTTTACTCTACAATAAAGAACAGTGTTAGTCATTGCATTTTCTCATCAAGCAGCTTCTGATATTCAGTAACGCAAAGGTGGTGCTATTTGTTGTACATGTATGTGTCTTTTTAAGCCTCTAATGGCCAGCTGTGACAGCCTGACTCAGATTGTGTAGAAGGAGCTGTCAGCACAAATCTTGGCATCTCGAATCCAGACAACTGCTTGCCACCAGGCGAGGGCTTGTGCTCGTGCCAGAATGGATTTTGAGAGACAAGCAAATAGGGCATTAATTCCGCCAAAGAAAAACGAAAAGCAGGGAGAGTTCAGGATCCTACACTTCAGATGATGGCTTTCCTGTCAACAGCTCGTCATTTAGCTCACAAGCTATGAAGGGCACGGACATCAGATCCCTCTTGCCCTAAGCTGGCCCTGTCTTGCGAAACGGTGGCAGGATCCAGAGACCACCCCTCCGTGCGACATTGCTCGCTGAAATAAAAAGCCTGGCCATCTGTTGGGAGGCAAAGACATCCCTGTCAGCTGGTGCCTACAGCCTCGAACAGGCCCTTATGTGGCAAAATCTCTCAGAGCCACTCACTCTTTGGGCAGAAGCTGGCGCTGCCCTGGGTTTACCGGGGGATTTTGGCGGCTCCTGTGAGTTTCAAGCCCAGCAGCTCTCCCCCAGCCCCGTCTGCTGCAGCCCTGGAGCAACACCTTGGCTCCAGGGGGAGCTGGGACATGCAATAGTTAGAAATATCTGTGGTGAAAGGCAGTGTCAGCCATGCAAACGTGGGAAGCACCTTCACGGTTTGACTTTGCATAGCACACAAGGGATGGGTAATAAGGTTTGGTGGGTTGATTCAAGGGCCCTCCCCAAAAAAATAGAAAGCTCTTTGTGAAGCTCTCTGGAGAAACACTGGGCCTTCCCTCCCTTTACAAAGTCTGAGTTCATGGCAACTCAAAGGCTTGGAAAATCACTAGAAAATACAAGAGTTGGATTTTGGGATCTGCAAAACTCTAACCCAAACTTTCAAAGTCTTAACTCCATTTGCACTGTGCTATATCCCCCAAAGGCTACAGAAGTGTCACCAAAATAAACTGCAGAAGAAATGAAGCTCATCTGTTTAAACCTACCAAAAAACCTCAGGCAAGCAAGCAAGCAAACAAAACTTCCTTTGAATTAAACCAACTCCAGAAAAAAATTAACTTGAAAAAATAACTGTTTTCAGAGGAACCCCAAGCTTACACAGCCAAGTTCACTCACTGCATTTTAAGCAAAAAAGTCACCAGTTTACAGAACACATTCTGCCAAGCGCTGTATTTTAATTCCACTGAAAGACAAAACAAACTATAGACTGCACTTTGTTTTGGAACACAGCAGAGCTGGAGTCCCCCCGGCTACACAAAAGCATCCCACACTCATCCAGGCGAGCGCCGAGCGGCTCCCGAGCTGGCACAGCACGCGCCAGCTGACGGTCTCCCCCCACTTTGGCAGGAAGGTGGATGAGAACGGATTAAGACAAGGGTAGGGCAGAGCATTTTGATTCCTGGGGTTCAGCCCAGTCTCTTGGTTCCTGCTTTAAACTGCTTGTTCAGGTGCCTTCATCACCTCGAGTCCGGTCCTGCCAGCCTTGCTCATTAGCAACACTTCACTCTGCAAATAGTTCAGATTTAGATTGACAGGACTGGTTCAGGAGAAGTGCCAACAGAACTGAGCTCTTTGTAAGTATAAACCTCTATCCCCGTTTGTTTGCATCTAACTTCTTCACAGAGGGTTATTTTTTTCCAATTCTTTCTCCACATTTGGCAGGGCTGTATAGCATTATTACTAACCACAGAGGATATATAGCATTAATACTAACTACTGGGGTCTGAAATTCATTTACAAGATGAAAAAAATGTGCAAAACACAGGAGTCTCAATAAAATCTTCAACTTTAACTCTCTTTCCAAACCTACATGATTGCTGAACACCCGCTCTTCTGCCACACAAGACTCAGTCATCAATTATACTTATTGCTACCATTGAAGGTTTATTTTTTTTGCATGAATCAACCAAAACATATTTTCTGACTCCCTTCCTGACTACTAATATCCGTGGTGTGAAAAGCATTTGTGCATATGGAGCAGAGAAATATAAGCCAGCGCCATGTGATTCAGCTACAATTCAGAAACACACAAACTTTTACAAAGCTCTTGGATTTACTGTCTTACATAGGTATTAAACCAAAGGACTCCATGCTTCACCCCTTATCCCACAGAGGCATGGTTGGAGGGTATGGGAGTGAAGTTCTGGGGAAAACCAGTTACTTTTAGATTATATTTAGGTGTGCTAAGATGCAGCTCAGTGCAGGCTGCAAAACTACTCAAGGAGTGAAGTTGCTGAGCAGTTAATCCACGGCACTGTGCTACTACAAATCTCCGAGTAACAGCAAGGTCTGATGTAGAAATACAACTTTCAGCTAAATACAAATCCCCAGTTTATATGAGGCCCCAAATTAACATGAACTTCTCTCTGCCAGGCTCTAACAAATGGGTTATTGGCTGTTCTGGGAGTGTTCTCCCCTTTCCTTGCAATTTGACAGAAAATTCCTTTTTAGAGATGAAGATTTTTTTTTCTTTTTTTTTTTTTTTTAATAAAACTGCTGCATTCCTCCATAGATTTTGGTGCCAGCAGGACTCTGCTCTCCCCATTACCCTCTACTCTCTGCTAGGGAAGAACTCTACCCCAGCCCTGGTTGCCGCAGCTGCCTTCCCATGCTGCTACTCCCAACTCCTGACACCAACTTCCTTCTTACTCCTGCTCCTTCCACTCTTGGATTCCGCTCATTCCACTGATGGATCTAGTGAGCACACAACCAGCTGGGGGTCAGTCCACTTGCATAAAATCCTCCCTGCCACTCACTGCTGCCCATATTGCCCATCACACTGCAAGACCTTTGGGTTTCTGCAACACCCTCTCCAGCAGCATCCTGCTCTTTGCCACTGCCAACTACCACGGGATTTAAATTAAATACACGGGAGAAGTGGAAATCCTATCTATGCAGATGTAAAAAGGATTTTGCCCTCATGCTTTTCTGGCCACTACAAATTAATACCCATGTTTATTAAAAATAACTGAAGAGTTAAACTAAAGAAAGCAATCTCTGACATGATCTACGTTTGCTCTTCTGTCACTCCCCTGAATTTAAAGGAACTCAAACACGAAGGTTTAGCAGGAGGATTTTCTTGCCATTGCCACAATAAATAGGTCTGTGGAACGAGAAAAAAATAGTTGGAAGGAAGACGTGCTGCATTCCTGATGCTGAAGAAAAGCTTGTTTGTTCCTGATACATTGGAGAAGTTGTTCAAGAACAGTTCCTCCATGTGAAAATACGACAGCTGTCATGCTGCCAAGGTCAGCCAGACCAGTGGCTATCCAGAGAGTGAGTGCTGGTTATACAACTTAAACCTGGCTAGGGCAAACAAAATTGACAAAACACACCTTTTCTGAGGTATAAACACATTTGAGAGAAAAAGGGCAAC